ACTGCCGACACCTTCCTCCTTTTACACAGCAGTTCGGGGCCTCTAGTTATTAACAAGACTAAAAACAGTCTGATGACGGCCGCATTTTGCCCTTTTTCGGGCTTCTAAAACTGACATCTATAAATATAAATCTGTGTGATTTGAACCGGATTGCAGAAGATCAATTCCATACACCATGTACTTATGATCCATTTAAAGGTGGGGAGGTAAGTTTGAGAAACCGGCTTGAGATACACTTTTTGTTATATTCCATGGAATGCTCTTAACATCCCGATAGCAATGAATAATCTGAATGAAAGTGCTTTGACAAAAAATCCATAAAAAAATGTCATCTGTGGAAGCCGTAGTACTGTAAAAAGCACGACCAATCATTTTAGGCCGGCCCGGCTAAAATAACTGGATGGCCTACCTGCCTGTCAGCTTTCCATCTGTGCATAGACTTATCTCATGCCCTCATTGGTCATGTGCGCGTTCGTGTGTGTTGGAGGAGGGGCTCTGTAAGGAAGTGGCAGATTTCTCTCCGGTTGTGTATTTTCAAATTCTAGCGCACTCGAGCTGGTTTCTCCAAAATTACCTACTCCACCTTTAAGTAAGGCACAATACAAGGTGAATAAATATGTGTTTTTTTATTTGCCTTCTGGACTGTAAGCTTGGAGATTTAGTGAGTTTTAGTTTTGATCTATATTATTAAATTAACTTTTTGTTTTTAAATATCTGCACTTTCAAATAACAAATACAAACTTGTTGCATGAAGAAAAGGATAAAATAATTTAATTGAATGATGAAAGAGGCCCTATTATGCTTTTTGGTTTCTCTGCCACACACTCCCCCCCCCTGCCTGAAACGTATACATTGTAGTGTTACCTCATAGTGACATCATTAAATAGGGTCGGGACATCTCTAAGCAGTTTGACCAATTACAACAGAGCTGGCCAGTCAACCAATCAGAAAAGACTGGGCTCTGGTTTCAGACAGAGGGTGAAAAGAGGTGCTGCTGCACAGGCAGTATGAGAAATCTAAAGAGCTTTTTGAACATAAAAGCATGTAAACATTTCAAAGTAGAGGCAGAAAATATAAATATGAACCTGAAAATAAGCTTAATAGCCCCTTTAAGACGTGAATCAGACTGTATTCCATGCTAACATTTGCATGAATATTGCTTTATTTGTATCAGTGCCTGTTTATGGCAACATTTCTGGTTTTACCTGTGTGAACTATTTTCCTTTAGGTAATATTGTACTAATGGCAATGATATGTAAGCCTTTTTTTACCCAACACTAAAGTCCAGTCTAATTTGAACTGTGTTAATGTTGTGTTGCTTTCAGGACGGTGAGGTGATAGGCATCAACACTCTGAAAGTGACAGCAGGGATCTCCTTTGCCATACCCTCAGACAGAATCAGTCGCTTCCTCACAGAGTCACAGCCCCAAACACAGCAAAAGTCAGAGGTCAAAGGCTGAGCAGCACAGAGGTACTAATATAGTTTCAGTTTTATGTCTGTGAGAGTTTAATGCCTATGAAGTGGTTCCAACCACAGTTGTTGATTGTTGTTGTGACAGAAAAGACAAAACTCCAAAGAAGACTTCCAGAGGAACCACAGGGTGATGCAGGTGAGAGCTGTTTGTAATGCTTTAAGTTTTACCAGTGTTGTTTTCGGAGATGAATATTCTTTAGCCATCAGGATGCTTACCGTGAACAAAGCTTGACTGGTGACATCCACACACACTTTGAGTAGTTATACTAACACAAATTTACTCAGCTTCTATTTAAAAGACAATGGACTTTCCCCCAGTTTCTTTCAGTGAAACTACTTTTTATCCTATCTGAAAAGAAGTTTATTAGTATTGTTATTGTTATTTGTAACACTGATGTGAGCGTTGTGTTTTTTTGTGCTTCAGTCTGGTAGCAGAGTTGAAACGTCAGAATCCAGACGTTCTGAGGGCTGCAGTGAAGTTTTGGTGCAACAGGTCATACCTGACACTCAAGCAGAAAAGTATGTTCACACACTCCTGCAATAACCCAAGCACACACAACTGACATCGCAGTGAGGAAACCCCGCTGGGAAACGGACAACGTGTCATCAAAGTAGCACTCAATCGTTGATCTTCAAATGCTATATTGCCATTTTGTATTTCTTTTTTGACATTTGGTCTGGTGTTGTCAAGTTGTTACATTAATTTGTAAATGATTTGTGCAAAGGGGCATTACAACTTGGTTTGTTTAGCTCGTGTTACATTTGTTTTGTCCTGTTAGCCAGTTTGAAACCAATTTTGCATCCCGAGCTGCTTAGCTCGCTAACTTGTGCTAACGTCATGGGCTCTGCTGTTCTGTCACTTACGGCAGACTGAAAGGTGGTGAATACTTTATTTTAACGTCAACCCTCGCAAAATGACTGTTTCAACTGATTTTTGGGAAGCCCCGAAGAGCAGCTTGATTTATTAAGGAAGAAGAAAACGCCACAGCTAGCTAGCTAAAGCTGCATTCACATAAGCTAATCTCTTTGCGGTGAAAACAGCCATTCAAGTGTCGTTTCTTTAGTTAAATTCTCTGCTAGCTAGCGTGGCTACATTTAGCCACGTCATCTTATTGGTTGTGTGTTGAAAGGTCAGCAGTACCCGAGGTGGGAAGTAGGTGGAGTAGCAAATACTTTGTTACTTTACTTAAGTACATTTTTCTGGTATCAGTACTTTACTCCACTACTTATTTTTCTGATGACTTTTTACTTTGACTTCTTACTTTTTTAACACAAATACCTGTATTTTCTACTTCTTTCATTTTGAAAACAGGTTTGTTACTTTAGTTTTGATCTGTGTTTAGTGGCGTGATCATTATTATTTAGAGTCATTGCGTGCCTATTGATTTTAACACGATCCGTGTATCCATCATTTCCTGGTCTTCTCTAAAGAAGAGGGACCAATAAAGACTTTGTAATTTTTCCGTTGTTCAGCATCAAAACATTCATTAGCTAACAATGACATTATTGTTCTATTAATATAAAATTAGGTCAGTCACTCTTTAAAAACAGTTGGTAGTTATGGGTACTTTTACTTAAGTACATTTCGAAGCCCATACTTCTTTACTTTTACTTGGGTAAAGAAGTGTAGAGTCAGTACTTTCTACTTTTTACCAGAGTATTTTTTAACAACGAGTAATGTGTACTTCTACTAGAGTAAAGGATGTGTGTACTTTTGCCATCCTCTTCTGGCAGTACCTAGGTCAAAGTTTAAATAATTGTAACTTCAAGCAGTGCGTCGAGCGCTGAGGTTGGGCGCTTCTGCCTAGTCGGGCGGCACTGCTCTCTCCTCCATAGACACACAACGGAGCTGTTTTTCCACGTATTGGAATTCATGAGGGTGATCTCATTTCATATTTGGTAAATATACAAAAGTAGCCCTGGATGAACACACCATTTAACACCCTCCTGTTGTGTTCGGGTCAAATCTGACCGATTTACTACTTTCATCAATCATAACTTTTTTGTTTTACATTCGATTGCATTAAGGCTTTAGATATCCCGGTCACACCCACACACACACACACACCACACAGCACAACACACACACACACACACACACCACACACAACACACACACACACACCACACACACACATCACACACACACACACACACACCCACACAGCACACACACACATATACACTAGATTGTGTTGTCCCCCCCTTATGTGCCCAATCCCCCTACAACATGGATCACACCTGGCACACGCATACATGTGCAGTGTCTATTCTTTGTATATTTACTGCGTTTTTCATGTATAACCGTAGTCTGATACAATTGTACATTTTGAAAGGGTGTTCAAAACAAGGAAATTTGGTGATGATTAATTGTTTTTTGTGTTAATGTAATAGCAGTTAAAACAGGACCCGGTCAATTTGACCGTGAATACCAAGTATGGGGGGGGAAAACAAAAGACATAGGAGGGTTAATGACTTCTTGTTTAAAAATAAATAGTAAAACAAGAGTAGTTTTATTTGTGATGTGATTTGTTGCAATTGTGTTTTGTTCTTATTGGACTGCATTCAAAACCTTGCATGTATCAGGACACATGAGGACTTTGAACCTCAATTATGAACTCATGATTTGCACTATTCAAAAGTAATGTGTATGAAGCACCAGGTAGGGAATCTGACTCAGGGATCTACATGGCAATAATTGTGTTGGTTCATTTTATTTTATTTATGTTTTGAAGTTCAAACAATACAAAGGAGAATGGCGTTATGTCCTCTTTTTCCCTGTATAAAAATATGACTTTTTTTGGTACCCTAATCACCTGTCTACTAGATGAGATACCAAAGACCTGGGGCCTAAAGCTGCCTTCAAAAACAAAAGCTATATAGGTCAGACTAACTAACTAAAATAACGGCACTAATGTAATGCTCACATTTCTCTGTACAAAACAGCAATACAATACCTATAACAATATATAACAATATATATATATATACTTATATATAACAATAAAATAGGACCAGTAGTATATCTCTTCTATAAGTTCACACCACAACATCACACAAGTATTTTTAAGTTGAAGTCAATATATTTACTGACAAAGAAAACAACAACAATAACAATAAAACAATAGAAATAAATGAAGACCAGGCAATAAGCTGGTTCAGTTGCTGTCACAGCGGACACAGGAGAGCGTTTCTGATGCGTTTCTGATGCTCTTCAAGAATCTCCTGACTCTGCTTTTCTTTCGCCGCTGGTCACTTTGATGACCTCTGAACAACCACAAAGAAGCAGGATGTTAGTACGATCAAAAAAACGACAAAGACATGAGACTGTGAGGGCTTTAGACATGTGACTTACCAGGCTCCATGTGAGGCAGCTTCGTCCTCAAGCTTAACAGAAATGCTTTCTGGCTGAGCAGAGACTGTGTGCTCGGCAGGAGTCATGGCCTTGAACGCAACACTTTGGACGTTCTTTGATAGCTGCTGAGTGACACTTGGTTCAGAGTCTCTCGTGTCAACAATCACGGTTTCAAATGCTTTGGCTGACTTCAGGGTCCTGCTCCACAGCGAAGAACGGATGCTCCAGGACTGTGAGGGGAATAATCCGTCCGCACTTGTCCGGCACCAGCATCTTTTTCAAGAGGTCCACAAAGTTCAGCAACTCCTCTCTCTTGGCCATGTGTCTGTAAGGTATCACCTGGAATACATTTAAGGTAAAACATGTCTAAGTAATCCTGTAAAATGATGCAAAGCAAGTCAAAAAATGTACCAGAGAAATCCTTGTAATGACATTATATTATCTAAAAAGACAACCTACCGTCCACCAGGTCATCAAGAGACCTAAGGTAAAAAAACGGGTTCCTCCTCTGAAGTGATGCCCGGTCTGTAATGCAAACTCCCATGGGAGTCTACAGAGAGACAACGTTTTGGTTACATTGTTTATCCAGGACAGACAGACAACACACACACACCACACACACACACACACACACACCACACACACACACACACACACACACACACACACACTACACCACACACACACCACACACACACACACGCACACACACCACACACACACACACACACACACACACACACACACACACACACACACACACACACACACACAGACAGACAGACCTTAAGTCTCCATGTTTGCTGTTTTGTAGCTCCCTCAATGTTAAAGTAGAAGCTGCTTTTTGTCCACAGTTCAATAGAACATCTGGAGGCTGACCCACCAAGTCCACAATGAGTTTAAGCGCGTCATATTCGTGGTCCATGGGGAACAGTCCAAAGCCTGCTGCTATTTCCGCAGCCACAGCACCGAGAGACCACATGTCAATCTGTTCACTGAAGTCCATGCCCAGGAGGACCTCTGGTGCCCTGAGAGGAGAGGAAAACTTCTTGTTAAGCTCACTTTAGTTTATTTTCCTGTTCAGAAACAGACTTCTAATGTTTGCATCAAAGCCGCAGCCTCTGTGCCACATGTTTTATTATTCCTACCTGTACCACCGACTCTGAACAGCGGTCCATGGAACGGCCCTCGGACACGTGGCGAGCCAGGCCGAAGTCAATGAGTTTGACCTGAAGCGGATGCTGCCAGCGGTTCACCACCATAATATTCTCAGGCTTTATATCAGCGTGGATTATTTCCAGGGCCTGAAGGTGGGAGCAGTGCTGTTGTCAGCTGAAGAAACACAAAGATTGAGATGCTTTAGGATCACAACAATGTAGATTTTTAGGTATGATTTCCCATTAAATCTCAAGTAATTAAATGATGCTCCTAAAGAAAGGAATGATTCCACATACTTGACGTAAAACTGGACGGATCTCAGCTATGGGCAGAGCGTTGTGTTTTCTCTGCAGCATGTACTCATAGAGACTCAGGTCCAGGAGCTCAAACTCCAAACAAATTAACTTTTCATGGTAGAACGAGCCATACCATTTCACCAGACTGCATTTATCTGCATCGAGAGTCTGCAGCTTCTGGAGAATTTTAATCTGTGGAAGACATACAGTACAAAATGTGATTATTGCCATTTGTTGTCACCTTCAATACGAGGTTGTAGGTTTCTCATTTCAAAAATAACTCGACACGTAACTTTAGATGTTATAATAAGAGTTTGTAATCTACCTCTTCCAGTGCTCGCTCAAAGAGAAGGGGTCCATCCTTGGATATTTTAACGGCCTTCTTTGTGTTGGTTACATTGTCCATACACATGGCCACCTTACCAAAGCTGCCCTCCCCGAGAAAGGCCTGCACCTCGTAGCCGGAGGACAGCAGGGGTCCCCTCGTGGATCGGGAAATCGTCTGGAGGAGAGGAAAATGGACACAAAATTAAGTTACATTTCCCAGTCCACAAAACAAATCACATCACATTGATCAAATGATACTAGCTTTCTATAATAGCTGGGAAACGAATTAACAAAACACAAAACTCTTCTTTATGAAAAATGTTAGGATATGTCTGTAGTGATTGAGAAATGAAGTAGTCAAAGTATTAAACAATAAAAACATCACTTGTTGTGTTATTAAGCATTTTTAAGCACACATTTCCCCTTAATAAAGTACTAATTGTGTACTTCAAGGAACAACATATTAGGATAGACAATTGTTTACTGAGATTATTACAACATTGTGTTTAAAAAAATGCACATTTATTTAGATTTATGTCATAAACAGGAGTATTCACAAAGATGTACTCAATTACTGTACAAGATTTAAGATCCAAAAAAAGATTTTTCTAACCATGACATGTTACTTTAATTCGTTTTTTAAAATAGGAAACATGTATTTGATCACTTATTACTAAGCCTGGTTCTTATTTTGTAACCACAAAAAAAAAACAGTGTATTGAGCAAAAATAAAATTAAAGGTGGGGTAGGTAATTTTGGAGAAACCAACCCGAGTGCGCTAAAATTTGAAAATACACAGCCGGAAAAAATCTGCCACTTCCATACAAAGCCCCTCCTCCAACACACACGAACGCGCACATGACCAATGAGGGCACGAGATAAGCTTGTGCACAGATGGAAGGCTGACAGGCAGGTAGGCCATCCAGTTATTTTAGCCGGGCCGGCTAAATGATTGGTCGTGCTTTTTACAGTATTACGGCTTCCACAAACTTACCTACCCCACCTTTAAGTCTGTTTTTCAGGACTTGACTTTACTGACTGTTGTTTACTACTCTCTGCTTACCTGTGACTGACATGGCACTTATTGTCTGTGATATTTCTGAATCAAATCGTGCTTGTGTTGAAAAGGCGGTGAGGAGCAACAGATGTGTGGTCTGTGTGTCTCAATTTCAGGTGAATAACTGAACAGTTGGCCTGGAAGCCGGTCCATATGTTTCTAAAACCTTCCAGTGTTCCATTCTTGATGGAACATTCCAAAATGGAAGGCATATGCAATTGAGGAAACATGTCAAATGTATTTTAAGAAAACATGGAAGTCACATAAATGTAAATCCTTTAATAGGCTGAGATGTTAAAAAGTGAAAAGATAAGCTTTTTTACACACTCTGATCCACATGTGAATACAAATCACAGATCCATTTAGATTTCTTGCAATTATTCATAATTTTGTCAATAAAACTGCTAGTTGAGTGCATGCATGAACATCAACCTACAAACAGCAGCAGAAACCAGAGTCAGCTGCAGGCTGTTTACATTGATAAGAGCCAGTCAGTAGGTCAATACTGCCATCTAGTGGTGATAGAATATCTATGACCAAATAAAATACATCTTATCTTTTTAGAAAGGTTGGCTTTAATTAACTTTTGAACTCTTTTTTTTAGAAAGCTATATTTGAAGCACATAGCAGGCTATGAACAGATGCACCTGCATCTATTAAAAAACGCAGGTAAAATCCAGAGGTGGAAGAATACTACAGTGTAAAAAATACTAACAATACTTACAAGTAAAAGTCCTGCTTTCAAAATTGTACTTAAATTGTAGTAAAAGTGAAAAAGTATTAGCATCAATCTATATTTTAAGTACCAAAAGTAAAAGACACTACTGGGTTGCTTAACCTATAATAATATATGATAATGTATGTGTCAATTTATATCTTGTATATACCTAAATCTGCAAAATAACAAATAAATAAGTCTGTCAAGTTAACGTAGTGGGGTAAAAAGAAGAACATTTGCCAACAAACTCTAGTGGAGTAAAAGTTAAAAGTAGCATAATGTGAAAATTCTAGAGTAAATGTACTTAGTTACTTTACACCACTGGTAAAATCCTACATGTAACGTGCCGAGTGTATTTAAATCAACGTTTGCACTAGCCATCACATACAGAACTCTGACAGGTTAAACTGAGTCTTTATTTGATCAAATTACTTTATGAAATCAATCTGTAAGTGACGTTTTGAACCAGATCCAGGCTGCTGCCATGCATCAGTAAAGCAGTAGGTGTTGCATACATCGAGTCAGCTAATCCGCTTAATCTGAGTGAACCCCGTCCAAAACATCAATAAATGTAATCATCTACACTGTCATATCGTGCCAATAAAGAAAATAGATTTACTTTAAGTTAGTTTCAAGCCTTTTAAAGACGCCCCCCTCCCCTGTACCTGAGGTGAACTTACTTACTGCAAAATCAGTCTAAAAATCAGTTATTTGATAATATCAGTGCGCTAAGAGATGTTAAGTAAATACATTTATTTTTCATCAAGATACATACTTGATTTAACGTTTAATTACGTTTTTTGAGGACATAGATTTAATTTTGGAAAGTATTTCTATTGCTATTTCTAATAGCAGATTCATGTCATACAGAAAACAGCAACACAGAAATACATGTTATTAGTTTTAATATGTTAAATGAACTGGAAACCTTGGTAGTAAATTCAGATATCCTATAAAAATACTATGAATTAAATCATTGCTTATGTAGAATATGTGCACATTTATATGATATTAAAAGCTAATTATTTGCCAGCCATGAAACTATAAAACACTTTACAATAACAACATTTTAATAAATGGTTACAGAAAGTTACCGATGTTTTGCTGCACATGGACTCACACAAACAGTGAAAGAGATGATGTGAGAGCACAGAAGGAGGATTAAATGCAGAGTATTACGCTCAAGGGCCTGGATAACATATTACACCTGTTACCCTCCTGTATACATATGTGTGCTTCGCCTGCTTATCTACGTCAGGGCTTTTCCCCTGGGGAATATTGATAGTGTCCTATATACCTGCTGTAGATTTGGCTTCAATAAGATTTCTTCTTTCAGACTAGTAAAAAAAGGAATACATCTTCCTTTTCAACTTAGATTTGATTGATTTCAGACAATGAACATAACACAACACAATAAAACAAACAACATCAGCACAGTACAGTGCAAAACATTGTTGTCAAACAGCCAGAGTTTCACTAAATAAGTATTACTGACACAGACGGCGGTTGACAGATACATAATGTTGTTCAACAGGAATCAAGGTTAGTAGAATTAACGTTCCCAATAGTAGGGTAGTAAGGTATATCCACAATCATGCTCAATTTGACCATAAACTTAGATTGGTAGGTTTGATGTGAACTCACAACATAAGGTAACCCCTGTCCCTGATGCCCCCAGGTCTCATGTTTTGTGTTTGATCTGTCCACTTATCAGAGATGAGGTGGGGAGCAGGGAATTTCTGCAGGCGCCTTCCTGGACTCCTATCTACTTCTCACTCCAGTTTATTTGACCCTATCACAACATCCCTCACCTACCATTACTATTCCGACGACACTCAAATCCACTCCTCTCCCCCAGCCTCCAGCCTCCAGGCCGAGGTGTTCATATCTCGTACACCTCTCGCTCCAATTCACTCTCAAGAAGATGGAGTGACTCTCCTCTGTGGAAGAGTTTGCCCTGCATACGACCTTTACATTTTAGACTTCTTTTTTTCATGATCTTGGTGTGGTTATAGAAAACATAGTGCACTCAAAACATTTCCCCCATGTGACTCTTATACTGGCTCATTGCTTCGACGCACATTCTTGGTGGTTCCCTGCCTTCTTTCTGTTTGCCACGTCTTATTTGAGGTTTTTTTATTTTAAGAAGCACTCAACTAAAAATTGTCAGCTTACTGTTCGTGCAGAGAAAATAACCCTGGATGATGCTATATACCCCATATTACGTGTGGGATTAAAATGTGCCCTCTATGGATAACATATATATGCTTATTGAAAAAAAAAAAAAGATTAATATAATAAAGCAATATAGAATGTAATAAAACTGAGGTCCAGTCTCAATGCTAGCACACGCGGGACTCCAGAATCCTTTTAATAATAAAAATAATAATAATAATGCATTTTATTTATAGAGCACTTTTCTATAAAACGTAAAGACACTTTACAGAGTAAAAATTCATAAAAACAACACATTATAAATATATAAAACACAATACCCCTAACCCTTAATTACAGATTAAAAGCAGTTCTGAAAAGGTGAGTTTTGATTTGTGATTTGAACATGGTGAGATTGGGGCAGTGAGGGCTGATGAATACCTGGCATTAGACCCGGTATCAATTTATCCAAATCATTTAATAAAACTAAGTGTACATGTTGCAATTGTGATGTCATGGTTTGCTTTAGGATTTAAAGGTTAAAATGTCAAACTTAGAATGTTCCTACAAAAAAAGTTGAAGTGAAACTTGTATTAAAAGGGCCATTTTATTATGAGTCGCAACTCGTTCAAATTATATAAAATTGTGGCCATGGCAATTTTTGAGTGACAGGTCGCTACCACGAAGCCTGTTTTTTGCTAGCCACAATTAGCAACCCAATTAAGATCTCAGTTTATTTGAGTTACGCTAACCAAGCTAGCAAGCTGGGGTTTGCTGGTATTTAAGCATTCGTTATGCTAATAGCACATGTCCCGCTTGGCCTCGCTCTTTCTCAGCTCCAACCTAAACAATTGGTTGCTTCTCGTGCCAAAAAACAAGAGGCTGATGAAGCCAAACTTGAGACAAACACACAAAACGATGGCTACATCCACTTCTTAAATACAGTTAATGGTGTTTGACGATTGTAAGAGGTGCATTACAAGGAAATGTAAAAAAGTGTTTGTAACTTTACCCATACGAAGTAAAATCAAGATATGATTGCTGCTTTAATGTCAATCATTATTTTGTCTCTGCCCCAACATTTTAGTGTGATACTGAGTTGCCCGGGAAGGCCCTCTTTTTAAAGACAACCTGACACTACATTTAGTCAAAGTAGCTCGGTTGAGTTTATGTTCTTTGTTTACTGTTTATATCTGCATTAAAGATCCTTATAGGGTGCTTTTTTTCTATAACAACCCTAATGAAATAATGCCAATCCACCACAGGAGCCGTTAACTGCTCTAACATTAGGCGCTCACCCAGGTGTGAGTGTGTGTGAGTGTGTTTATGAACAGGAAAAGGCAGGTTGTATGTTGCAAGCTCAGCAATCTTACCAAAACACGCACACTCAGCAGACCTTATCGGGATAAATAAAGATTAAAAACCAACAAGTACGGAGCTCGGACACAGTAACTCCTCCTCTGTGTAACAAGTTGATATATTGTCAGCCCCAAAGAGAGTCTGTCCTGACTATAAATATATAAATGTGTCAGGAATCATCTTGGTTCCTGTCGTTTAGCAGCCCGTTACAGAGAGAGGGGGCGGTGGAACAGCAGAGTTACAGAGGGAGGGCGTTGGGGAATTGCCGTAAGCTGTGGCGTGCTCATGCCAGTTGACTTGACCGAAGCAGACACACACTTCCATTATGGCGGACCGTGTAAAAGGGTAATGTGTTAGCTATATGGCCTGGACTGTGAGGGATTTATGCACATGCTAGAGCCATGAACACTGACACAGGGGTACATCTCTCATCAGTCTTTGTTGTGACATCATTATTTCTGTTTTAGGAGGCTTTATGAGTGCATTAGGAGAATGTGTGTGTGTGTCTGATTTAGATTCAATTACGAAAACGTGTATTTATTTTGGTTTTTGACACAAGATTGTTGATTTTTTATTTGTATCTTGCTTGTGACTTGTGACTAAACAAATTAAAGACCCTCTCAATTCCCCTGGAATCTATTATGGCCCCTGTCAGCCAGTAAATCTGCATTGGGTTATTCATGAGCAACAAGCAGGAATATCTAAAAAAGGTGCTGACTCCCTGTCTTCTCCTCTTTATTGCTTTCACAACCAAGCCTTTCTCTGTCTTTTTCATGAATCCTACAGCTGAGTGGCCTGCGACATGACTCTCCTTTTAGTGTAATGGCAAATCATAGCCATGTGCGCTTGGTCTGACTCCTGGTATGAATATAAAGGCGAGGCCCACACACTGGGTTTCTGTATAGCAGCCCTGAGATTATGTAATGATTATAATAACATTATTTGGATAGCACTTTATGAAAAGATGCAGCTCAATGTGTTTAACAGCAAGATAACATAACTCAATCAATACATAGCAATATAAACAGTTTGATAGGAATACAACTAACTACAGCACTGGAAGTTATTCTTTTCTGAGTTGAATTACAGAAAGGCTGCAGATGGTGGATGAATAAAGAAATCGTGGTGACAGCAATTCCCACTACGCCCTGATTTGAAAGTTGCCCTCTGGTCAAAAATGTGTTCTTGTTGCTGTCGCGATGCAGAATGATGCAGGGTCAGAGCTATTTTTACATTCACCTGCTGAAGAGGGAACATTTTCTGTGTTCACCTTAAATCTCATTTAAATACAGCTGGAGAGGATTCTGCTGAATCACAACTCGTTTCGGAGCGATTGTCATCCAGTATGCAACTTACACAAGTGTCATGTGGAAATAATATTTTGAATTAATAAAAAAACAAGTTCGAGGTAATCTTAAAAGATAAAGATTGTTGCTGTTACAGATGCAATCCAAAATGTGCAGCATGTGGATTGTCTTGCTTGGTTTCACTTTAGCTGGGCATGCTGTTATTGGGGATCAATACAGATTTTTAAATCTTTTAGGATCCCAATTAGTTTATCTTGCCGGGGTCTATAAAAAAAAGTTCCTTAACAGTTTTATGTGATAATGTAAATCCAATGAAATTAATATATATATAAATACAGAATGCTTATATATAAAATGTAAATAATGAGAAACAGAATGGGGTGTGTGGACCCTCAGAGGTCTTTGGCACTCATGATTCAGTCATTATTTTCACAATATTTTTTTTCATAAATAAAAGGTAATTTCTTGCTTTAAAAAAATTAATAAAAATAAGTGAAATGATTGCATTCATCAGGGGGTAGCAGTATTTTTTCTATTATGCATGGGTCCTTGGCTGAAGAAAAAAAAAGATAGCGTCTGTCAATCATATATATATATATATATATATATATATATATATATATATATATATATATATATATATATACATACATACAATAACGAAAATGTATATAAATAGATGGTGTACTTTAAGTAGGTTTCAACACATTACACTGAAGACCAAACTGAGAACATCAGTTCCTTGTCTTTTTCTAAAATCCTGCAATATCATATTTTATTATTAGATGTTGTATTTTTGCTTAATGTATTATTCCATTACTCCCCCCTAGAGCCCTCCCCTCTCACATTATGACAACATCTGGTGACAGCTGGCACGGCATGGCTTTCTGTTTATACTATAACGAATATTCCTGGAGTAAATGTGTCCCTCCCTATTAGCACAGAATGTCGTAGCCTTATGCTCCTTTAGCTCACGTGAATATGCAAGTACTGACAGATTCTATCATAGGTGAACTGTGAACACATGTCCGGTTACGGTCCTGTGCTGTGGTCTAGTGCGCGTTGCCCTCCTTTTCTGGTCGAAGTTTGTGTTCGCTTAGTGCCATGATAGGTCGACTACCACAGCACCACTGACTCAGCTAACCGACCGGCAGCTCTACATCCGTTGAAGCCGTGACGGAGCTCAAGAACACACACATACACACTCACACCCTCCTCCTCCTCCTCCTGGCTTCACCTCGGGGCCACACGGAGTTTCGTGGGAAACACATGTACAATGAGCATCCTTCCCGTTCACGCTGCTCTTTCTGCCACTGTGCCGAATTTCTTTAAAACTTGTCTGCTTTTTATCAGAGACGACGGAACAGCGCAGGTGAGCGTGGCTGCCTACAAGCACAGAAGAAGAAGTTAAATACGGATTTTTTGTATGGACGACAAGAGCGGCACTCAGTCGGACAGCTGTATTCGGATCGGTTAAATTTCCCCGTGGCTTCGCACAATGGACAGCACAGCTTCTCTAGTAGTCATCTATAAAATAAAAGACCAACATGTTGTCTCTGGCAGATAAACATTGTCATCAAATAACCTCTTTATCATATTAGAGAAGTTTATTTGTTATGGTTTGGCGCTGCTGAGTATTCCGGTAAAAGGAGATCACTCCGCGTGGAGAGAAGTGAGTTGTAAAAAGGCTTACGATATCGGGACGGAGTATTAACACTGTATATTTCAGCTGTTCACTGTCGATGCAGTTTTTTTGGAGGACAATATAAGAAAGTAGCAAGTTCTTCCAGGAAAGGAGATGACTTCCAGCGCTGTCCTCCTGCTCTTCATCCTCTCTCTCACAAGTAAGTTCCCCTGTCAAAGTATGGCTGTGTGGTGACGTATTAAAACGAGTGTTTTAAAAAATGTTCTTATTTATTATATTTTCACCACAAAAACGCGTTGTGATTTTCAAAATGAGTATTATTGATATAGTCAGCTATTGTTAATCAATGAAAAATGCGTTTAACAAATGTACATTTTCTGTCCATCAATAAACAATGTCCATGGTGCTGATGCACACACAATTTTGCAATTATGCAAAAAGATAAAGACACACTTCAATAACCCCCCCCTCTCTCTCTCTCTCTCTCTCTCTCTCTCTCTCTCTCTCTCTCTCTCTCTCTCTCTCTCTCTCTCTCTCTCTCTCTCTCTCTCTCTCTCTCTCTCTCTCTCTCTCTCTCTCTCTCTCTCTCTCTCTCTCTCACACACGCACACAGGAAGTTGGCTTTATTAGGTTTCAGTGAGCTGCAAAGAGATAACTTACCCAATAATACGAATTTGTTGTAGATAATGATGCAAAGTTCGCATTAAAGGTGTCACTAATTTGAAATGGGCTCTTAATGAAATTATAAGATAATATCCAGAAGGCTTCTTTGCTATGAAAGGTTCATTACTGTAAATCCAACTGTGAGAAGTCTTTGAGAGGACAGACTGATCAAACTGCTGTTTTTTATTTTGTGATGACATTTTGTGACACACAATACATAATTCAACCTCTTCTCCACATACCAGAAATATCATACACATTATTTTACTGAAATTCCATTTAATATACTTGATTTTTTAACCAGCCACATTTGAAATACAATTGAGTGGAAAAGGATATCAACATCACCATCAAACACCCCATCAGGTGTAGTTTATTTGTAGAATAAAAGCTCCTCCAGCTGCCCACATCCCCATTTTCCAGAGAGAACATCAAGGACATGACCTGAGTTTCATTAATAATAGTTAGGCTTCGCTATGTGTGTCTTTAAATAGCATAAGAGCAAAAACAGTTCCTGATGTGATTGGTACCAGTTGCTGACACAAATGTTGCGATAATGACCTTATACATATTTGTATTCTGTGACATCTCGTTTACATTGTGGGTATAGAGCCTGGTGATACGTGTGAGCCCTCATGACTTAAAGAGGCCCTATTATGCTTTTTGGGATTTACCCTTTCCTCTCCTACACACTCCCCCTGGCTGAAACACCTTGATAATAGTCCTTTTTTACATTTGTGTTACATAGTGACATCACTATGTAACACTCAAGCTTCTATTGGCTTCATACATTGTATGTGATAGGCTAATGGGCGGGACATCTCTCAGCGGTTGACCAATCACAACAGAGCCTGCCAGCTAACCAATCAGATAAACAATATGAATGAAAAATAAAGCACTTTTTGAACATTCAAGCATGTAAACATATCACAGTAGACCTGAAATACAATTATGAAACCTGGAAATTACACAAGATGTCACTTTTTGTTCAATTAGCATAATAGGGCCACTTTAACCCTTAGATGCATAAGTGGGTCTTTTTTGACCCGGTGAGGTGGTTTTCTTAGAGTATCTTTGTAATTACATTTTTTTTTTATCATTTCATATTCCAGCTATTCCTCAAAAAACATGTTTTGGATATCATGATTTTTACATTTTAAATTAAAATGTTATACATTGTAAGAAATTGTAGTTTTTGTATTACTACCAAGCTTCCATAAGTGGGTCTAAAAGGACCCGCATGCATTTTCTATCGAATTTCGTTTTTTTTTCCAAATGTAAAAAATGTTTCTAAAATTATAAATAGTGAAAAATTAAATATAAAATATTTCTAGTGTGAACCAAAATATAATTTCTTAACCAAAATGACAAAAATTGCATAAAAACACATATTATTCTAATACGGGTCCTTTTTGACCCACTTATGGAAGAGTGTAGGGTCCAGTCACTCGTGCATCTAAGGGTTAAGACACTCAGAGGACCCCTGTGAATCTCTTTTGGTATGTCTCTGATGACAAAGTTGAGTTTCTATATTCAAACTCTCAACTTTTCCTCACAGACAGGGTCCTAAAAAACTGTGTGTGGTTCATACTTTGAAGATACTTGTAAGTAAAAGCAGATGGGCCCTTGAATAATTTACAGGAGGCTATTTTATACCTACCGCCAAGAGAGCACAGTCTTTTAGGCAGAACACTTGGCTGTCTTCACCAGTGTCCTAAAAGGAGAGCTTCTTTTTTTTTCAACCCGACCTTCTTTCAGGGTTTTTTCCATGAAATTGCATTAGCTGGTGGGTTTCTCTTTCGCTTTAGCTCAATAGGAAAATAATTAATGAGACAAAAAAAAAAATCTGAGCCATCGAATTTCATATCTGCGCAACAGACAACTAATGGACTCTGACAAAGATCCGATACGACAGGAAACACAGCCAAGCATTATTCTGTTACATCCATCAAGGCAAAGATACACTAGAATCAAGCTTTGAATTATTTAAATGAAGTAATACACCAAGAAGGCGCATAGCACTTCACTGTATCTTTCACCATGTTGTTGTGAGTGTTTGTATTTCCCCGAAGGACTGGTGATTTGACCAGCTCTTGTTATATGCAATAATGTTCGGCACTATTCCTCAGCATCTGTGCTTTTACTGAATCTGTCGTAAAACATAGAGATTAAAAAACAAACCAGTTATAAAAAAATATACAACTTCATCAATTGTATACATCACAGTCTGTTTTGGAAGTTATAAAGAGCCCTTTTGGCCCTAGAAAAATTGTAAATTTCTTCAAGATGTCACTTGAAGACTGCTTGTTTAAAATCCGGGGGTTTGGAGAAAAGTGAGCTTAAAAGACGTTTATAGCCTCCTCATTTCTGCTGAAAACTGGCAGCTCGATGCTACATTAGCTACTACCATAACACACCTAAATATTTGACAGAACATGCTATTATCAGTTGTCATTCCCATTATGTACCAAGGTGAATTGGGCATAAGCATCTGATGGCGAAGCGTCCCCATTTGGCCATATCTTCTTGCAAATGTAATGCAGCAACATCCTTGGCTTCTCTTTGCTGCATTTCTTCAGCCATATACATGAATAAATACGATTGAATGTTTGTATCAGACATAACACTGTAATGTGTATCCTGGTCCATAACATCCTGTGCACTCATACTTTGGGTTACCATTTTTGCTTTTGTATACATTGCAATACAAGTGATACTTAACGCATAGAGACATTCTTTAGCATCCAAACTGATGGGAAATGTACATCAAAGTGTGCTGAATTTCCCTTTATTATTACCTAACCCCTTGTGTTCTTTCCCAATGGGTTACACGTTTTTGCAGTATATACTACATAATAACTGAATAATTTGCAAGGTATAATCTTAAACTTTCCCAAACATGGTTATACGTTAAATACAAGCATTATAGCTAACTTAAAGTCACTTCAAATGGAATATAAATATGATTAAGGCCTCTTACTACTATGTTAACCTTCAGTTTAACTTACATCTTCCTCTTGTGTTAATAGACTCAGGTTCTTAGACGTGATGTCAACAATAATTTATCAACCAATTAATTATTAAGTCAAAATAAACTTTCCATTAAGTTCCAGATTCCCTTGCCTCTCTTGCTTTCAAAATAGCTGAAAACTTTTGCCGTTGAATGTGACATAAAAACTTGGTACAGCAGGGTGCTGTTCTGGAAAAAGAACATCGAAGCTCACTCAGCCTTCGCTGCATGTGATCTTACCACAGCAGAAACTTCATGTGGCACAGAGGGGCTGAAGCATTCCAAATATTTAACGCGCTCTCCGCTGTTGTCAGTTTGTTTGACAATGTAGACACAATGGCTGAGGGAAGCCAGGAGAGCATTTTGCTTCTGACTTATTCATACGATCACTTTTTACATAACCAATAATTTAGGGCTGAGGAAACACAAAGCTTCAGGGGTTCTCTCACAGGGGGAGGATGCATGACTGGGTTTTTTTGTTTGTTCTTTTGCTCTAAAACCCTGCAGTTAAGCGTGAGACCGCAAGAAGCACCAACACATACACACTGGCATTATAAAGAGAACACGGGATTCCACCTTAATGCCCCTTTGGAAACATTTACTTCATTTACAGCCAACTTGTTTATTGTTCATCATTGTGACACTGAACTGAAAACAAACTGTGATGTCACGCTTGGAACAGCAACGCTAACACGCACACATAATTGTTGCATTTGAAGTCACTGCCAGGGACATAAAAAGAACACAACAGCTTTATTAATATGTATTTTCTTTATTTTGAAATGTATGGTAGGCTATGTATTTACCTTAAAAAAAAAAAAAAACATTTAAATTTAAAATACAACTTTTTATTTTTGGGATTTAAAGCCCTTTCAAAATTGAATGTTTTCCAACTCTCTGCATTGTGGCTTGTAGGCAGCAGGGCGGAGAATGCAGAGGAGCGGCTGGTGAACTACCTGTTGAGTCCGGAGCGCTACAACAAACTGATCAGACCGGCCATCAATAAAACGCAGCAGGTCACCATCTCCATACAGGTGTCTCTGGCGCAGCTCATCAGTATCGTAAGTATATTTGATTTTATTCAGATATTGACAAAAGCCCTGAGTCTCTCACAAAAATGCTCCTTATTTCTACCTGTTTGACAGAGGTGGACAGAGTATTCAGATCTGAACTTATGTTAAAGAAGTAACACTACAGTGTGGAACAACTATTTTACAAGTAGAAATCTCACACTAAAAATCAAATTTAAGTAAAGTAAGATAGTATAGGTTTCAAATTGTACTTATTGTATCAAAATGACTCTGCACAATCTCTTATTTCAGAATAATATATTTTATTACTTAATTGAGTAGTGATGCATTGTTGTGTTCATTACTTTAAAGGTGCAGCTAGTAAAAGAGGTTTACTGTCATGTACTGTGTGAATTGTACTATAATAATAACACATGATAAGTTATTTGTTGATTATATATTTTTGTAATCGTCAAAGTTACTGCAGAAAAATGTAGTGGAAGTACAATATTGACCTCTGAGATGTAGTGGGGTAGAAGTTGAACGTAGAAGAAAAATTGAGAATATGTAGTAGAGTTCAAGTGTCTCACAATTGTACTTAAGTAGAGCACTTAAATGTCCTTAAATTCTAACAAACTGCTATTTGATAACTGACATCCTAAATGTGATGTTTATGATATAAAGCTTACAGCTGTTCTTGTTCATAACACAGCTCATAACAAACTTGTAACATGAAGTCATATTTTACACTTGGTGTCACCATTAAGCCTTTTAGGATAATATTAGTGGTACTTTTGCCATCAGTCATACTGTGCACGCAACATCGTAGCGTGCCCATTAGGCCCCCACACAGGTGATTTTACTTAAGTGCCCTGATTAGTGCTCTGTGGATGGGTAGCAGCTGTGTTTGATTGACATCTCCATTGGGGCGCGACACCCGTAACACGTTTTTTATGAGGTTAATTAACTTCATTAACTTCATTGTACAAGTTTTAAAAAAACGTGTATGGTACTCTACTTGAATCTACAAAAGGCTCTCCTTATAGTAGACATTTGGACTGTTTATAGTAAAAAGCAAAGGCGTTAATCATAAGACTGACAGTGGCTCAGCTCTATTCAAGTGCCCCAGTCAGAGAGACAGTGAGAAGCATGCATCAAAGCAGCTAAATGGAATTGAGCCATCATTAATTTTATTATTTACACCTGTGTACACTGTGACCTTTCGTTTACATCACGCAATGCTTGAGTTTCAGACCCCATTTACACGGGAACGCAAACGCAAACGAACCGAATTCGATATTAAAAAAGTCTTCCGTTCACACGCATTCGGCTCAATTAACGTGTCCGTTCACACGAGACCGCTCGACCTGCTGGAAACGCTGTAGTACATATGCCGGGCCTGTAAGTGGCGCCGTACTTACACCAATATACACCAAAAGCAGCGAAGAAGACCCCCGAGCATGGTTGCCATGGTTGCCCTTCTCTTTATGCCCCGCGGTGGATTTAGCAACATGTAGTTCATGTAATTCTCCATGTCCACTTGTTGCTGATGGTTGTGGTAGAGGAGCTGTAGATTTTGCACTAACATCTGTAGCATGGTCAGTAGCAGTAGCAGTAGCTACTGACCATGCTACAGCAGTGAGCAGCAGAGGTGGGGAGAGGCGGGGCTATGGCTTCATCGTTATCAGGAAATGATAGTATAGGGCATACACACTGAGCCGTTTGGCCCCCCAGAGCGTTGTGTTTGCAGATCTATCCACCTTGGGACCCGTTTCCGCGGTTCCGTTACGGCCTCGTGTGAACGAACGGGCTATACGCGAGAGAAAAGTAGCAGATACAACCCGTTTCGTTCTCGTGTAAACAGCACATCAATCACAATGTGGAATTCACAGTCACAATGGTTAGGGTTGGGGGGAAGGGTTAGGGTTACATTGAAACATGACAGCCGAAATAAATGTCAGTACTACATTTTAGACAATCTTGGAACTAATCAGCTGTCGGTCTGACAATGTTTTATACTTTGGGGATAACAGGTTATATTTTAGCAGTCTGGTGAAGCTAGCTGACCTCCAGATGCCCCACATTCTCTCCCTGCTCCAGGCATTGTTTACAGTTCAATTAGCAATTTCAGTCATGAGACTGGAGTTGTTGCTGGGCAGACAATGTCTATGACCGGATTCTTTTATCTTTCAATGCAGAAAAACAGTTTAGAAAAAGGCTAATTAAAAGCTAAATAGACCTCAGTTGATAGTGTTCAAGATTGTACTTTGGCCAATGAGTTCAGCCTTTTTTGCTCTCCACGATCATACGTGACCACAAAGCCCGTTGTCAACAGATTCTGCATTCAGATGTAGATATCTGTTTTTAGAGATTCAAATGTACAATTTGTTATATTCTCATTTGACCACACATATCTTTTCACTGGGTGTGCAATTTGAAACTCCTGCACAATAAGATACATTTCAGTTCTGGCTTTATTGTCATATGCTCAGTAGCTAGAGTGTAGAAATGGCTAGAAAAATCCCCCAAGCTCCTCCAACATTGCAACATAGTTATATAGGACATAAAACCATAAAACAAATAAAAAATTAAAATAGTGCAAAAACAAACAGTAGAATGATTAGAATAAAATAGTGCAGATTATGTAGCAAGACCAATGTGAAAGTAATGCAGATGAAGAAAAGGTTTATGTTTCTGCGTTGACTAAAAACACTGCCAGTAGACAGCACTATAATAATTCAACCATTTATTTTGTAAAGTTTAAGTTTTATGTAAATTATATCATTGTTTTTTTCTAGAATGAAAGAGAACAGATCATGACGACCAACTTGTGGCTGTTTCAGGTACAATCATTTTTCTAGCGTGCCCAGTGCACACACACAGTGTTCAACATACAGTATGTGGGTGAGTCAGTGACATCATTTATTAACACTATCTCTGCAGGAGTGGAATGATTATAGGCTAAGATGGGACCCAGAGAAGTACGAAGGCATCAAGAAACTGAGAATACCATCCAAACACATCTGGCTTCCGGATATAGTGCTTTACAACAAGTAAGTATGTGCACGTCATCCAACGAAAGAGGAAACCAGTTTATTTGTTCATCTAGTTCTATTATGTTGTTCTAAAACCAGTTGAATGGAAAAGTAAATATAACATTTTCAGCCTGTGTGCATTTGTGTGTGGCAGCCTCTTATTAATGGATTACAGTATGGTATTAGTGGATTTACAGTATATCATTAAGAGGTTTTCCAAAATTGCCATCGGCCGTTAAAAGCAGAAAATCCACCGCCAAAATAAGCCTGTTTTTCTATAGGGATTTTGTAATTAAATGTTCAGCATTCTCTCTCTTCTAAGCCTAGTCTGTTTTTAGTTTTTTTTTGCTGAGGTGAAGGGGATTAGGAATTGCTTAATCAACGTCTGCTTTTAGACAATCATGGGGGAGAGTGTGGGTTTGTTTGATTATTATAATTGCAATGAAGCGAAAATAGATTTTCCTGGTCTCCGGAAAAATATCGTCCCCATACAACAGAACAGCATTATCAATTACGCCTCTAGGGAAATGTATTTTGCCCCAAATAGGTTTGTATTTGTGTTTTTATTCATCACATATAAGCTTTGATTTCAAAGTCTGCGGAAGTTTGTGTTTTGAGGCTGGGTGGATTGAAGAGTCATACAAAGACTTTACCCCCGTTTGTGTACTGTTGTAACTTTAATAACGGATCGTAACTTATTTTAAGCCATGCATTGATCTTTGCACGTTCAGCCACAGACTCATCCCTCCTCGGACAATCCTTTGTGCCTGTAGCCATCAGGCTGCACAACAAGGGGTCAACAATGTGACACAATTACTGGACATAAATACACACTTTCATGTAAAATATATCTAATATGTATATATGACCCAATATGTATACTGTATATGCTCATTTTCATTTTCATTCATTTCTTACTTCATAGTTTTTCATGATTTTAATTTGTATCTTTGATTTGATCTTTAATTGTATTAACCTGTGTGAATCTGTCCTGTTTTTCATCCTTGCCTTGTTGCTGTTGGAACTACTGAATTTCCCCAGGGTTATTAATAAAGGTCCATCTTATCTTATCTCATCTTGCTCAGCCTAGCCAACTATTTTTGTACTTTTGTTTCATTTTCATTGTTATGAATGTGATTGAAACTAGGGATGTCCCGATCACCTTTTTTTGCTCCCGATCCGATTCCGATCATTTGATTTTGACAATCTGCCGATACCGATTTTTCCCGATCCGATCTTTATGCAATGCATTAAGAGAAAAAAAAAAGGAGAAAAGCATTCAAGTTGTCCCTTAAACCCCACGTTCTCCACCACAGATAACGGCTGGTCATCCAACGCGATGAATTCAGCTATCTTGGCTGTTATTTTTTTGGCCTTTTCACTGTTCTGGGGCAGTTTCTCTTTCCTTTTAAAAGTCTCTGAAAGTGTCGGTTGTTTCAGTGCCGTTACCTGAGTGGCCGCTGTGTACTCGTCGTGTTGTTGGTGGTGTTTGTATTAGATTGGTCGTGTTGAACGTAGCTCTGTTCTTTCCACCACGCGGAGCCTCCGCCTTGCAAACATTGCATCTGGCTGTTACACTGCCTTCGCTTTCAATTTTATAATACTTCCAAACTCCTGACATTTTCTCTGTCCCGACTCCCGAGTCACCAGCTGAACGTAGCCTCTTGTTAGCTTACTGCTACTATTAGACACTGCGCCCACTCTGTTGCCAGATTTGAGAGAAATAAGCAACCAGGTCTATGAAAACAAGCCCAAAAGAAGCAACACATACATGATGTTGTGTAATTTTAAACCAAAACTAAGGCCTCAGGATGACTTTAAGACGTGAACATGGTCATTTTTGTTTTGTAACATTAAATAAAATAAGAAAAATATTTTATTAAAAAAAAAAAAATTCCGATCCCCAATTCTTTTCTCCCGATTCCGATCTTTTGAAAATCACGTGATCGGCTCCGATCCCCGATCACGTGATCGGATCGGGACATCTCTAATTGAAACTGCTACTGTAATCCGGGAGAAAGAACATCACCCTTGAAAACGTTAAAGATAATGCCCATTGAGCACTTTTCCATTGAAAATAGATGCAGTAGTGGTATAACGTCTCTAATTAGACGCTTGCATTAAGACAATATTTCACCAGGATTTGCCATAGTGGAGTTTTGTCTTCTTTTACATTGCGCTATTGATAGCATACCATCATCATCGAGCCTTAATAAGAAACCACATCCATATTTCTCATCCAGTATTGCAAATCCTGTAATTATTTTGAAAGTCACTGTTACTTTATTGACAGTTAGCTGACTTGAAATAGTTCATATTGAAAGTGTTGCATTTAAACTCTGATTTCACACACTCTAATCTTACATCTTCCCACAACCTCTTACAGTGTTGACGGTGTGTACGAAGTGTCCTTCTATTGCAACGCTGTGGTCTCCAACACAGGAGACATCTTCTGGCTTCCGCCCGCCATCTACAAGTCGGCCTGCGCCATCGAGGTGCAGAACTTCCCCTTCGACCAGCAGAACTGCACTCTCAAGTTCCGCTCGTGGACCTACGACCACACGGAGCTGGACCTGAGCCTCACGAGCGACTTCGCCAGCCGGGACGACTTCACGCCAAGCGGGGAGTGGGACATTGTCTCGCTCCCCGCGCGCAAAAACGAGGATCCCAATGACATCACCTACCTGGATATAACCTATGATTTTGTGATCAAGAGGAAGCCGCTGTTTTACACCATTAATCTGATCATCCCGTGTGTGCTGATCACGTCTCTGGCTATCCTGGTGTTCTACCTGCCGTCAGATTGTAGGGAGAAGAACACGCTGTGCATCTCAGTGCTACTGGCCCTCACTGTGTTCTTGCTGCTGATATCAAAGATAGTGCCACCCACCTCTCTTGCAGTGCCACTCATAGGTAAGTCATATTTGCGTGTGTCTGTGTGCAACAGTATATAGTTAGGGGTTTGAACTGTTAGTTCAAGATGCATTATTGGATATGTAAAGGGTGCCTATTATGCTTGTTGGGGGTTTCCCTTCCCTGTAGTGTGCAGACCATTTGCATGTTAATGGTCTGCAAAGGCTAAAATCCCAAATTTCCCAAAGTCTCTCTCCCACACACACTCTGCCTGAAACACCTCGTTTGGATTTCATTGTTTACTGCGGGGACATAGTGACATCACTATGTCACACGTGCACTTCTATTGGCTGGCACTCCAACATATTTTATGTTATATGCTAAGGGGCGGGACATATCCTACACATCTCGGAGCGGAAAGAGCGGTAAGAAATATTTCGGCTGATTTTGGTTGCCTCTGCATAGAGCTAGAAGGCCTAAAGATTGCCAAAGTAAAATTTACTGCAAATGTCAAACTAATAATTTTTTTAATGTATTATCGTAAAGAAAACACTTCTGCAAAGGTCCTTACAAACAATTATTTGTGTTGAGTGTGAAAAAACTGCAAGTACGATGAGTTAAGCGACAGACCTTTATTCATTATTATTACCCCTCAAGTATATCTGATATATACATATATCCCAAAAATAAGATTGGCTGCTTATTTCAACTAGCTATTGATACTATTTGCTGTTAAAGAAAACTCACATTAGAAATCTTAAAGGGCATAGTCCCTCCTTTTCTGATAAGCTGTGAAACAGACAACGACAACTTCACAGCAATCAAATAAATACTGGTAGAAGCCTTTACAATTGCTCAGTAAATATTAACAGTGTTGATGTTACAATTGGAGCCTCAGAGCAGCAAATGGGTCATTGTGAAATTGTTCTGTTGTTGCAATGATAGAATTAGTGGCCTCATACAGACAGACCTTTTTGACACTGAATGATATAAAATATAGGCCTTATTCATTTGTTCATGTTGGCATCTTGTCTTTCTCTCTCTAAGGTAAATACTTGATGTTCACCATGGTGCTGGTCACTTTCTCTATTGTGACCACCGTCTGTAACCTCAATGTGCATCACCGCTCCCCATCAACCCACCACATGCCAGAGTGGGTCAAACATTTCTTCTTAATCCGCCTCCCCGACATCCTCTTCATGAGGCGCCCAGGCTCTTCCAACAAATTTGATAAACTTCGCAAGAAGTACGCCACCAACCAGACTACCGTCGGGAAAACCAATTCCCAAAGCAGCACAGGCAAGAGGCAGTATTCCAACGTCAGACTTGGAGGGGTTCGAACAGATGCCAACTCTTTCTACGTGAATGAGGACTTGGCAAACAAGTTTTGCTGGAAGGTGGACGACGTCCCAGATGGGGTAGTGGGTTTTCAGACTTCCAGAAGCCCTTGGCTTCTCAGTGGGATGCAGATGTGGAGGAGGCAGTGGATGGAGTGAGATACATCGCCGAACACATGAGGACAGAAGACGACGATGACAGGGTGAGGAGATAAAGCTGTGGTTAAAAGAAACATATGAAGGATGATGAACAGGAAGAGATAGGATCAAAGGATGAAAGGAAAGGAGGACAGAATTCATTATTTGAAAGAAATAGGGAAGAAAAGACATAAAGAGCAGATAATAGAGATGGGTGATGACAAAGATGCAACAGGGAGGAACATCTGTACAAAAAATGAAGATGTTATCAGTGCCAGATAAGAAGACACGGAGCACACCATGTCTTAAATAATTTAGTATTTGCTTTTTGCCCTTCTGTGACATTATTTCAACCTCTCAATTATTTATTTTCTATTCTGAAAACCTCAGAAAACCCTTAAACACAAACTGACTGTCCAACCCTAACCCCAGAAATGTGGCTCCAGGCTTCTAAACCAAACTCCCACATTTAATAAATATTACAAACATTTTTTGCAGCTGTAAATGCTCATTGCAAATTCTTCATCAAGCTGCCTCCTTTCCTATCGTCTGCAGTCCGTTTAAAACTATTCCCCAATATGCATTAGGTTTCCTAGAGGCTTCCGTACTTGCATTATCCCTAATGTTACCAACTATTATTTGTTTTAATCAAGTTAACAGTCATTTGTTAGATGCCTGTAATGTCGTCCTATCGACTTGTTATTGAATTGTTTGCCATAAGCTGACATTGATGTATTTTATGTCCAGAGTTAAGCTGCATGATAGCGAAACACATCTTAGACCTTTGTCGTTTTAACTTTATATTAAGGTAAACTATTTGATTCATCTGATTTCTGGATTTTAAGTTTTTATTGGAACATAACAACGAGGCGGAAGCAATACCATCGGCGTCAATCATCGCTCAAAATGTTCCCCAAGCAATGTGCTCAAAGTTTAAATTATTTAAACTTTGAGCTCATTTTCTGCTGACCTTTGGATGCAAAACCATCATGTGACAGCTGTATGGAATGGCGCAAGCTAGCAGGGAACGTAACCATACAAATTAAACCAACTGGCTATTTTCTCCGCGCCAGACCTCGTGAGCTAAGAAAAAACCTTGTATCATGTGAATGCACCATAATCAAAAAAGAAGTAAGAAATCCTGGCCGTAATAAATATCTACATACTCTGCAACTTTAAAATGTATTAAACTTACTTACATTTAAGATGGTTATTATTGATAATTAGTGCCTAAAGGCGGCTTCAAAAGTGTTTTCAGGAGAATTTCAGGATGTCTATTTTAACTTATAACCCCACAACTGATGGCTGCATGGAAATAGGCTATTTACTGTACTGTACAGATGCTAAGCTATCATTGGGCAGCCGAGGGAGGGAGGGGTCTAGCCAACAATCAATTCTAAAATATGGAATGTGAGCACACAAACCTTTAGAGACCCTTCACTGAACTCACCTTCTTCCAGTGTTGTAGTCAAGTCACCAATTCACGAGTCCAAGTCACTCTCGAGTCACCACTCTTCGAGTCCGAGTCCAAGTCCGAGTCACCAAGGGAGAGTCGTAGTCGAGTCCGAGTCCAAGTCCGAGTCACCCAAGGAATGTCCGAGTCGAGTCCGAGTCCGAGTCATCATTACCTGTGTTCGAGTCCGAGTCCAAGTCCGAGTCACCCAAGGAGTGTCCGAGTCGAGTCCGAGTCCGAGTCATCATTACCTGTGTTCGAGTCCGAGTCCAAGTCCGAGTCACCTAAGAAGAGTCCAAGTCAAGTCCGAGTCACAAGTCTTCATGTATTAATCTTCGTGGATATATGTGTTGAAATGTAGCTGCTCCTCTACATTGCTTTTATCCTGTCATGTTATACTAATCTGTCTATTGAACTGCTGTGAAGCGAGTTTGGCTACAATTCTTGTAATAGGTGCTATACAAATATAAAGCTTATTACTAATATTAATATTATTATTATTATTATTATATATAAACTATGTTTAAAATGAGTTACCTTTTAGAGAAGTGATTATATTTGTATGCCAATATTTTCCTATGGTAAAGTTTTCGTTTTGCACTTTTATTTTGATAGTAATAAGATCGGGACTCTTATTTTGAAGGAACTTTTACCGGTTAAATCGGTTTACTGATAAAGATTTAGCCCCAGAAAGCACATGGCTACTTAGCATGCAAAATGACGTCATTCTGCATGTTAAGTAGCCATATGCTTTCGTGTTATCGGCTGAATCTTTATGTATTGATTAGATGACGTTACTCTGATGATAGTGTTCAAGACAGCCTATATGTCTGAACTCGATGTTTAGAGTAATGTGTTACGGAGCCTTCTCTTCAATATTGTTTCCACATAGAGCATTTTGCGCTGCTCTTTTCCAATGTGGAAGCAGAATGTGTGAAAGCATACAGCACGATGCGGGGTGTGTCTCTAGACATCTTTAGACTGGAATAGCGGGGCCCAGTACGTGAACTCGCCTCGCAGCCGGTGCACACGCCAGGATAGAGGACATCAGACTCCATAGAAAACTTGCTCGAGTCCGAGTCCGAGTCCAAGTCGGAGCGTCAATGTACAAGTCGAGTCCGAGTCATCATGGGGGGAAAAATTCACGAGTCCGAGTCCGAGTCCAAGTCAGCGTACGCGATAATTCACGAGTCCGAGTCCGAGTGCAAGTCATCGTGCGCGAGAATTCACGAGTCCAAGTCCGAGTCGCGTCAATCAGTGCGGGAGTCCGAGTCGAGTCACGAGTCCCGAAAATCGGCACTCGAGTCCGACTCGAGTCCGAGTCCAGGACTCGAGTACTCCATCTCTGCCTTCTTCTGACTCAAATATGTTTCCCCAAAGGTCTGTTCCTACTAGGGATGCTCCGATCGATCGGCCGCCGATCGATATCGGCCGATCGATGGGTGCTCTCTATAAATGTCGATCGGGAGAGCCGATCACATGACGTAAAATACATCAGACTTTTCTCTGTGCGCGGCAAAACAAGCTCGCCAAAATGGCTTCACCAGTCTGGCAGTATTTTAAGGTGTCCGAAAAAGACAGTAAAATAGCGGTATGCAACGTGTGTGAAGCAGAAATCCTGCAGCTCCGCCCGCTGTGACGGACCGGTGAGCGGAGCAGAACACACACTAAGAGTTAGACCTTACACACTTAGCTATTTGATCTACCTCTGGAACAAGCTAAACTAGTTATAAATATGTTTATTCTTCACTGTCGGGTCACTCATTACTGGATCAGTGAGCTGCATGAGACGATACTGACAGGCTGTCAGGGGAGAGAGAGAGAGAGAGAGAGGGAGAGAGGGAGAGAGAGAGAGAGAGGAAAAGAGGAAAAGAGAGCGCTTCCGCTAATTTCTCCCGTGTTATTCTCCAAAGTTAATGTAAACTTGAATAATGTCGGCTGATACTGATTCCGGCGATCGGCGATCGACGACAATATTGGCGATCGGAGCATCCCTAGTTCCTACACATACCACATAGTCTTGATTTGATCAGTCTTAACAACCTTTAACGATCGCATCTTGTTGATTTGGTTCCAGATCATACAAGACTGGAAGTACGTAGCCATGGTGATTGACCGTCTGTTCCTGTGGATCTTTATCCTGGTGTGTTTGACGGGAACGCTGGGGATCTTCATGCAGCCGCTGTTCCAAGGCCACAAACCCAACTCTGATGACACAGAGTGAGTCACATACACATGACGTTTGCTTTGCCAATAACCAATAGCATGACACTTCACTTTGTATTCTAGCAGTTTTTCTGGTAGCACGCCATATTTGAAGAGTTCATTTGCCAAACATATCAGGGTCATGTCATACTCAAAATGAATAATCAACACTAGTTTAATTGATATATCCTAGACCAGTGCTTCTCGAAGTGTGGTCCGCGTGAGTATATTGGTAAAATTTCACATTTGAAATAAATAAATACATTTAAGTTTTCCGCACTCTCGCGGGAATATCTCCGCAATGGAGCGAGCTTAAGTTTCAGCGCAACACCTTCGTCACACATGTTGCCACTTGTTTGTACCATTTTCAGGCAATTTGTAATCTGTTCTAGAAAAACGATGTGTTTTTTTTATTTATTTCAAGAAGCATATAAAACAAACAATGGATGTCTTTTATGAACATGTATCCATGCTGGAAGTAGATTTAGATGTGTTAGGAGTGAGATAGAGATTATTATCTAATATATGTATCCAATGAAGCATTGCATGAAGTCTGTTGATGATCAGAGGCTGTTGTTGGGGCTGCATAAACGTTTTTTTATTTTTGTTTTGTAGACAGACCATGCCCGATGGTCACCAAGGTTCATGTTTTAATAGCATTTTTACAAAAAAATGGCTTAGACCTCAGAGAGTTAAACTTGGGCCTGCGACCATAGTTTTACTGAAAATCCACAGCGGAGGTTTGTGTCGTACTACATGCGGTGTATTTTGCATATCTCTCAGTAGCCAACGATCTGTGAGTCTGTTGGCTCGGACATAAACTCCGTAATAAATGTAGTCTACATTTCATAAGAGGTGTAAAACCTGAGAGCATTTTAAATCGCATTTGAACTAAATGCTCATATAATCTGTAGTTGGATTTGTATTGTTGATTTAATGTGTGAACGAGGCGATATAGAGAAGGTCACGTTAAGCTGTAATTATTAGGCTCTAATTTGTTATATACTGTTGGAATGGTAAGCAGGCCTATTGTTTTGGGATATTTGTGAGTCAGGTGGTCCGCGAGTGTTTTTTTATTGGTTAAGTGGTCCTTGGTATGAAAAAGTTTGAGAAACACTGTCCTAGACCTATCAAAAAAAGCAAAAAGCTCTAATTGCCTCAGATTTCATTAGAAGAGTGGACGAGATCATGACGTTTTTTTTAACCTGTACTATTGTTGTCAACTTGTCGAAGCAGATCAATTGGCATTTGGTTAAGATACAGTATAGTAGAATCGTTTTGTATATATTCGGATCAGTGACTGTTCATGGCAGCCTTAAAAAGAAAGTAAAATAATGCTTTCACATTCTTCAGTTTCTTTTCTCGCTCAAACAATTAAGCCTTGGCAGAGTTAACAAACTGAATTTATATTTCAATCAAAACCATAGTCAACCCTGTATAAGTTATTTTGGTCATTTTTACTACTTCAATATTGCACTTATTTTGAAACTGTAATCTGAAATACATTATATCTGCATATCTGCTTCTATAAATCCTTTGTTTTTTTCCTTTTATAGGTATGGAGATTTCTAGGACGTTTGGAGATGAACTATAACAACTTGAACTGAGAAGCTGCACCAGGTCTAGCTCTGATCTGTTTTTTGCTGCTTGGATCCGACACATTGCAGGCAGTTGGTTGTTTCTGAAACAGTGGACCTCAAACAAACCGAATGATACAGGGACACTTTTATTTTTTTTACTGCATGGCTTTTATTTCTGACCAACTATGCATCCATCCAAACGCTGCCATCACCCCAGGCATGGCAATATTTTATTGACACTCTTCTAAAACCTAAAAAAGTATTCTGACAAGATTATAATATTGTCATTTAGCCGAGATTGCTCCCCATGCCATTTTTGAAACTACCTACAAGACAAGTACGGTCTATTTTTCCCAGCTCTGATTTTTCCCAATGTAAAGAAAAACTACAAAGCCAATGTAAAATGCTGTTAATTTGTCTGTGTTTCATTTTGACTAGTGTGCTGCTGAGGGAACAGTTGGAGCTCTTTACAGACATACAGAGGGTCATTACACATTACAGCTCCTATACGACCATGAGGTCTGTTCTCCCTTGCAGCTCTGTCGATGTGAAAATCAGACAATAAAAGACTTAACACAAATTGTTGGCACATTAAAGTGGATCCAAATGTCCTTTTCTTAAACCAAGCTTTATTGCTAAAACTCCACCCAAATATCCACCTTTTCTCGTCATATTATCTCTCGCTCTGTTCTTCCCATGTTCTGCTTTAGAGCCTCATCTGCACCAGCCACCTCCAAGGAGGGTCGTAATCATTGTCCTATTTTAAATAATGTGCATTCTCTTCTTGCTTTCTCTTTCCGTCTTTCACTTGCTTGGTTATATAATCACACATGTAGCTGTACAAGGCTACATACATTATCATGAAAAAAATGACACTGACTGTATTGAAATACATGTTAAATAAATGACTCTTTATTTTATGTGTTTGGCAAAGTTGTTTATTGTCACATGTTCCCCAGCTTCTTCCTCACATTTTGGATCGTACCAGTGGTTTTGCACAGCCAAGAACATCAATCAATCAATGTAATCAATACAACACTTTATTAATCCCAGGGGGAAATTCCATGTATTGACAGTTGCACTACATTAGATTACATGACATAGTTATATTGACATAAGTTCAATAAAGAATGTGCAATACAAGTTCTTGTAGCCAAAGAAACACAACGTTTTGGCCACAGCGTCTGAGGAACAGGAATAAGCACAGAGACACTGACTCAGGTTCATGATGAAGACTCAAGCTCATGGTGAAGACTCAGGCTCACACTGAAGACATGGTGAAGACTCAGGCTAATGGTGAAGACTCAGGCTCATGGTGAAGCCATGATGAAGACTCAGGCTCATGGTGAAGACATGATGAAGACTCAGGCTCATGGTGAAGACATGGTGAAGACTCAGGCTCACGGTGAAGACATGGTGAAGACTCAGGCTCATGGTGAAGACATGGTGAAGACTCAGGCTCACGGTGAAGACATGGTGAAGACTCAGGCTCACGGTGAAGACATGGTGAAGACTCAGGCTCACGGTGAAGACATGGTGAAGACTCAGGCTCACGGTGAAGACATGGTGAAGACTCAGGCTCACGGTGAAGATATGGTGAAGACTCAGGCTCACGGTGAAGACATGGTGAAGACTCAGGCTCACGGTGAAGACATGGTGAAGACTCAGGCTCACGGTGAAGACATGGTGAAGACTCAGGCTCATGGTGAAGACATGGTGAAGACTCAGGCTCACGGTGAAGCCATGATGAAGACTCAGGCTCATGGTGAAGACATGATGAAGACTCAGGCTCACGGTGAAGACATGGTGAAGACTCAGGCTCACGGTGAAGACATGGTGAAGACTCAGGCTCATGGTGAAGACATGGTGAAGACTCAGGCTCACGGTGAAGATATGGTGAAGACTCAGGCTCACGTGAAGACATGGTGAAGACTCAGGCTCACGGTGAAGACATGGTGAAGACTCAGGCTCATGGTGAAGACATGGTGAAGACTCAGGCTCACGGTGAAGATATGGTGAAGACTCAGGCTCACGGTGAAGACATGGTGAAGACTCAGGCTCACGGTGAAGACATGGTGAAGACTCAGGCTCATGGTGAAGACATGGTGAAGACTCAGGCTCACGGTGAAGATATGGTGAAGACTCAGGCTCACGGTGAAGACATGGTGAAGACTCAGGCTCATGGTGAAGACATGGTGAAGACTCAGGCTCACGGTGAAGACATGATGAAGACTCAGGCTCACGGTGAAGACATGATGAAGACTCATGGTGAAGACTCAGGCTCATGATGAAGACATGGTGAAGACTCAGGCTCACGGTGAAGATATGGTGAAGACTCAGGCTCACGGTGAAGACATGGTGAAGACTCAAGCTCACGGTGAAGACATGGTGAAGACTCAGGCTCACGGTGAAGACATGGTGAAGACTCAGGCTCACGGTGAAGACATGATGAAGACTCAGGCTCACGGTGAAGACATGATGAAGACTCATGGTGAAGACTCAGGCTCATGATGAAGACTCAGGCTCATGGTGAAGACATGATGGAGCTTTCAGTGCAATCCTTGTCAGCCCAAACAATCCGGAAGCCGACGAAGGAAACGTTGGAAACATTGTTGATGGAAACGTTGCCCGAACAGTCCGAAAGCCATTGATGGAATTATTATTGTCAGATATATCATGATGCAGCAATGTGTCAAAGCACATCAAACTAAACCCAAGATATGCCATCTGAGCCATTACCCAGAGATCGTACGTTGCGTGAATGCAAAAATCAGCAACTCAACGGCAAACAAGACAAATCTAATCTTTCTCTGCAAGAAAGTTTAGAGAGGGCACAGCTTAATAAGTTACTACTGGAATGTATTAACAAAACAAGTAAGATCAAACAAGAAAGCTTAAAGCTAATGGTACACATATAGCAGGTACAAGCTCCGTTCAATGCTGGCAGTAAAAAAGAAGTTATTACATTTTGGAGTTTAATATGTATCTTAAAATAGCTTTTGTAATTTGTTGATTTTCAAAATAATTGTTTAGCAGTGCAGCAGCACGTACAGAAAACACAGAAACAAGATTATTTAATGTACAGGAGGTGCATAGGATAGTTGCCCTTACAATTTAATCAAGGGGTATCCGACTGACGGGAATTTTGTCTCTATGCCCTCTTTTCCTGAACCACCGTTTTCCCTAGGCACACAAAAGGAGATTTAAAACCACTAACCCTGGTGAAAATAGGTCTGAGCATCATTTAACAAGCTTAAAATCTTTTTAGAATCCTATTCAGCTGTCTGGCCAGACTTACTCTTGAACACTGACATCAGGAGGGTAAATATAGTTGAACCACTCTCTCAGTAAGAGAGAGGAAGGGAGAAACTATTAGTGGAAGAGATATCATTTCATAGCTTTTGTGGATGGGATAACTGGCACTGTTAAAAGACTGCTGAGTCCTGACAGTACAGGATAAAAGGAGGTGCTCAGCATCTCAGAAGGGGGCAGACGGGGTTGGCAGAAAGTGGTGCAAGTATTTTTATACTTTTCAAATGTTGGTATAACAACACTAAAGTGTCATTTTTGACATGCGCTTCATCTGGGTGACCTCAAATACATTTAGAACATTCAGAACCCAAACTAGTTTTCATCATGTGTTGATCAAACAGCATCGGAAGACAAGCAGCTGTGTGTGCTTTGCGTCGGTGTGAGGTCTTCTGAATGTATAAGTGTAGCTCTGAAAAACATACTGTCTTGTTGAAAATGTGATTAAGGTAAGGATGTCATGAGTTAGACAATCTTGCAAATGATTGGCTAAAGGTCTGAGCACACTGGGGACAGCACCCACTATTTCTGATGTTCTGGTGTAGCTCACGAATATCCGGGCTAAGACCTTCTCCTATGTGCCCTGGGCGGTCCGATTAGGAACTTGAGATGCGAGAAAGAGCTGCAGTCGATTGACGACGTCCAAGACGAGTTTGTTTATCGGCTTTCCTGTGCAGCAATCTGTGGAGATTAATACAAATGTGTCCCCAAGTTTGCATTTCGGCCTATTCTTTTTATCATTTTTTGCTTTCTGCACGTTGTGTTTACCTGCATTCAAAAAGCTTGCCTAAACGTGATTGCCCTAATGTCTAATACAAAACGTCCCAGACCGTAGCCTGCAGTGCTGCCCCTGGCCAAATTGGGGCCCTGAGCGAAATTTTGTTATGGGACTCATGGTGGGGAAACTGTGGCGTGCATTATTGCGCTGGATAAGACTGTTTGTGTCCCCTGTGAAACCAAATGTCATAATTTAATTTACTCCCATAACTTCATAACGAATATCGAAACTACTTATTTTAACCTTTATCTTTTTTTGGAACCTTACCGTGTAGTCTCAATGCGTTTTTTTCTTCTTTTTTCTCTCTCTCAATTTCAATAACCAAATATTAAAAACCATTTCCCTCGAATTGTGTCGGAGGCAGCGATTGATTGGAAATCCATATGTGATCAATAACCTTCAATATCTTTGCTTGAAAAGGCAATAGATTTGTTACACTAAGCTGCTCCCCCACACACACACTTACACTTGAAATAAACCCCCTTTTAAGCCTTCGCTGGTTATCTAGCTGAAGTGGAATAAGGTTTGAATCCACATGCAGGGTTATAGCCTAAAGGACATTCTGGTTATTATGTGTCTATGTGTGTGGACGAGAAAGCCTCCTTCCTCAGTCTGACAGTAGAGTCGGCGCTCGCGAAACAGAGGGCCTCATCATATAACTTTGCGTGGGGCCTCAAGTTGGCCAGGGACGGCCCTGGCAGGCATGCATGTGTGTGACTGTGTGTTTGCCAGTGCATGTGGCCACATTTGTGAATGCCATCTGGCAACCAAAAGGTAATATCAGGTGAAAATAACATCGCCTTCCAACTGTCAGCAGCCTCTGAAGACTGAGCACACATTTACTTTTAATGTAGTACACACATAGATTATGATAAGATTTAACTGGCCAAAATCCTTTCTCTCAGCAAAAGGGAGGCACTGATTCCTCAAGTCAGCACATCAGCAAAAATACTAGGAGCCTCTGCTGCGGTGGACAGCTATCGACTAAGCGCATATTTACTGTTCCTCAGTTGTGTGTGTGTGTGTGTGTGTGTGTGTGTGTGTGTGTGTGTGTGTGTGTGTGTGTGTGTGTGTGTGTGTGTGTGTGTGTGTGTGTGTGTGTGTGTGTTATTTACCAGGTGTCCCACCCTATCAATATGAGTTGGACTGGAGCATAAATGTGACAGATGTGACAACGGTGTTTCTGGAGGAAAGGCCAGAGTGGAACAGAGCAGGCCAGTCATACTCTAGTATCAGATTGTGAAACGTAATATCCTTTTGTGAAACTTACATCAAAGACACATTGCTCAGGTGCTGTAGATGGTGGGCCTTTAAATGTGCATTTTAAAGATTAATATGACAGAATTAAATCTAAATATATGATATAGTTCTACATGGATTTGTTGGTTAATCTGCAGTACGATAGATTGTTGCAGGAACGAGTCCTAAAACCCGGAAGTGAGTTAGCATTTTACTACCGGTTCCCTCGTCTCAGAGTCAATGGGATTTCTCCATAGGATTTTGGAAAATAGCTGGAAATAAGGTCTGCGGTTGACACAAATTGAAGAGACGGATCACGCTTTGTTCTACGACATTAAATACATCAGCAGTGACCCCACTGGTGATTTTTGAAGAGTTTACGTGTCTGAAAAACGATGGTTGTTAACAAGTGGCTGAATAGGACTACAGAAGTTGTCGTACGTCATTACGCCGAACACGTAAACACTCCCGCTAAGTTTGTTTGCCCTGTTCTGCTTGAAAGCAAGTACCTGCGCTCTTGCAAACTGTTAAAACAAACGCTTCAACTTGTACACTTTTGAATCTCTATGTTTGAATATCGATCTTAAGTTGGCG